GTGGCTTCTTTCCAGACTCTTTGTTCTGTGTGTTCTGGATGTCTGTCCTTATGCCAGTACACATTGTTTCATTTAAGGTAGCTTTGTATTAAATTTTGAAGCCAGGAAATGTGAGTCCTCCAGAGTTTTTTTTTCTTTTTCTTCTTTTTGTTTTGGCTATTCTGCCCCCCTTGGATTTCCATATAAATTCTAGGTTCATGTTGTCCATTTCCCCAAAAAAGGCATTTGAGATTCTGATAAGGATTATATTACATCTGCATAGCAATTGGCAAATTATTGCCATTTTGATAATATTGAGTCTTCCAATCCATGAACAAAGGGTATTTTTCCATTTATTTAGTTCTTCTTTAATTTCTGTCAATAATGTTTTAGAGTTGTCAGCGTACACGTCTTGTACCTCTCTCGTTAAATTTATTCCTAAATATTTTATTTTATTTTTATTTATTTATTTTTTGCAGTTTTTGGCCGGGGCTGGGTTTGAACCCACCACCTCCAGCATATGGGGCCAGTGCCCTACTCCTTTGAGCTACAGTTACTTCCTAATATATTACTATTTTTGATGCTATTTTAAATGGAGATGTTTTCCTAGTTGCCCTTTTTTTTTGAGACAGAGTTTCACCCTAGGGAGAGTGCCATGGCGTCACAGCTCGCAGCAACCTCAAACTCTTGGGCTCAAGCGATCCACTTGTCTCAGCCTCCCAAGAAATGGGACTACAGGTGCCCGCCACAATGCCCAGCTCTTTTGTTAGAGACAGGGTCTCACTCTGGCTCAGGCTGGTCTTGAACCCATGAGCTCAGGCAGTCTTCGCACCTCGGCCTCCCATGGCACTGGGATTACAGGTGTGAGCCATGACGCCTGGTCTAGTTATATTGTTTGCTTCTTCCTTGGCTCATGTACATGAATACTACACGGATGTTTGTATGTTGATCTCGTATTCTGCAAACTTGTTTATTTGCTTTAATAATTTTTTGAATATGGATTCTTTAGGGTTTTCTATATAAAAATCATATCGGCTGTAAGTAGAGATAGTTTTATTCCTTCCTTTCCTTCCTGGATGCTATGTCTGTCTTCCCCTGCTAACTGCCCTACCTCGAATTTCCAGTACATCCTTGTCTTGTTCTTAGGGAGAAAGCTGTCAGTCACTCGCCACTAACTATGATATTGGCTGTGGAGTTTTTGTAGATGTCCTTTACCAAGTGGAGGAATTTCCCATCTATTTTTAGTTTGTTGAGCATTTTTTAGTTGTGAAAGATTTTGGTCAAATGCTTTTTCTGCATCTGTTAAGATGATCATTGTGATTTCTTTCTATTTTGTCTTGAGGTCTCCTAGGAGAGTGACTACAAACTCCAGCCTCGTGCTGACAGGGCCCCAGAGGAGGAGGTTGTGGGGTGCACTTTCCCTAAGAGGCTTCTTTATCCTGGGTGTGGCCTAACCCCTATCTGACCTCAGGAAACTTGTTAATACTGGCACATGCCCTGTGGCTCTTGTGTGACCTTGCCCAGTTTATTCATGCCAAAACAGACACTCTGTAGGCGAGCCCTGACCTGGAAAGAAGATGGATAGATTCTGGGGTGTCAGTCGGGGGTGGCACAGACGAGGCAGCCCAACAAAACACGTGCTAGAACATAATCGGTTGCATAACGTACAGACCAGGGAGAAGAGGGCAGCCAAGGAGAGGAGAAGCCATCGTAGACATATGTGCTCAACCACTGTTGAGGAGCAAAAGGGGAGAGAGAGAGGCACCTGTGGGCCTTTGCCAAGGTCCAGGATGCTACTGAAGCAGGTTTCCCACAGGAAGTTTTAACTTGTGGGTTTATAGCAAATAGGCACAGGTTCCATGGAGTCATGTGTGTCTGAGAGGTGGTCCTTACAGGGTGTCTGCATGGCAATGTACGGTGTAGGGTCAGTGGGGTGAACAAGTAGGTTATATCTAGCTGTCCCATAGGGAAGGGATCATCGGAGGGTGGTACAAGCAGATATCTGAATGACTGAACCGCCTTGAAGAGTCAGAACTGGGCAGAGACTGAGAACCAGAACTGTCGAGGGTGACCAACCCTTGCTTCTGATAGTAAGTAAAACCTATAACCTAAACAGATAAGGAGGGGACATAAAATCATAAGAATTCACTATTTTTCTTTCATTCTATTACTACAATGTATTACATTGATTAATTTCCATCTGCTAAGCCAACCTTGCATTCCTAGGATAAACCCCACTTGACCTTGGAGTATAATCCTCTTAGTACCTGCTGGATTTGGTATGCTAGTATTTCATTGAAGATTTTTGTGTCAATGATCTTAAGGGATTATTGGTCTGTACTTTACTTTGTGATGTTTTTGTTTGGCTTTGGTGTCAGGGTAATACTGGCATCCAAGAATGATTAGGAAGTATTCTCACCACTTCTGTTTCTTTCTTTCTTTCTTTTTTTTTTTGGAAATCCTGATATCCTTTATGCCTTTGGTAGAATTCACCAGTGAAGCCATCTGGTTCTTGGCTTTGGTTTATACAGAAGTTTTGTGCCTACTGATTAATTTCTTTACTTGTGATCCAGGTTTTCTATTTCCTCTTGAGTCAATTTGTGCAGTTTGTGTCTTTCTAGAAATTTGGCCATTTTGTTGAGGTTGTATAAAATTTTAACGATTAAGTATTTGTGATATTTCTATATAATCCTTTTTATTTCTGTGAGTTTGATGTGTCCCCACTTCCTTTGCTGATTTTGGTCATTTGAGTTTCTCTCTTTTTTTCTTGGTTTGTCTAGATAAAAGTTTGTCAATCTTATTGCTCTTTTCCAGAGCTGGTTTTTATTTCCTCTCTTGTTTTCCTGCCCTTTATTTCGTTCATAGCCACTCTAATCACAGTTAAATGCCTTCATCTCCACTCACTTTGGATCTGGGCGGCTCTTCTTTTGTCTGGTTTCCTAAGGCAGAAGTTTAGGTCATCACTGGAGCTGTTTTTCTTACACATGGGCCCCGCACTCTTGTTTCTTTGTATGCCATGTGAGTTTTATTGAAGCCTGGGCTTTTGAATATTGTGGCAAATCGGGAGATCAGATTCAACCCCTTCTGCAGGGTTTATAGTTGCTGCTTTTCATAGCTGCTGTTTAGTGACCGTCCTGAGCCAGTTCTAGAGAGTCTGTGTTCTTTGTCACATGTGACCATTGAACTATTCCTTTAGCTAAACACTCAGCTGAGGATTAAACATATATTCCTTAAACTGCTAGAACTAAAAATATCCCTATGCAGAGGGTTCTGTGTGCATGCTGGGTGTGGTGTGGCTTCACACTCCCACAGACCGTTCACAGCTCTGCCTTAGCCCCCGCTTACTGCCTGTACAGAGGCTCAAGGCTGGTCTGGGAAGAGCCCTTCTGAGGTTGTTCCTGGGCACATGCCAAGCCCTGGGCATGTGCATGGCCTTCCAGATACCCAGGGTAATGAGCTTTTCAAACCCTTAGTCCTAGAGCTTCTCATTCCCTGGCCTTTCCTCCCAAGCTTCGTATTTATTATTCCTGTTATTCACAGCCTCAGACAGCAACAACTATGATCTTCTCATGGTTTGTCCACAGAAGTCTTCAGGCGAGGACTTTGGCACTGGGCACATTCTACTTGGGCAAGACAGAGACAAGCCTTTTCAGCCAGTCTTTCCAAAAAGCCATTGAGACAGAACAGAGCAAGTAGCTAAACGCGTCCATCATTGCTCTCTTGGACTCTTTTGAGGAACATATGATGTTGTTTAGACTACAGCTAAGCTAGGGAGCAGAGGGTAGGACCAAGGTATGTGAAAGCACCACAAAACTCACTATTCTGACCAGATTCAGGAGAATTTCTTGAAAAAAATACTTCCTGGATTGCTACCACTCTTTAGTTGGTTTCTAGAGTTCTAAAAAGTTAATTCTGACAGTTTTTGCCTATTTTTTTCACTGCTTGTATGGATGGGATAACTTTTGGAGTTTCCGACTCCACCATTTCTGCTGACATCATTATACCATTTTCTTTTTAGGTGGTTTTTCTCTAATGGTTAATTTAAATTTAAGGGATTGCAGTGGGGTTAATTGTAAACAAAAGGGACATACTGGGGGACTTTGACATACAACTGAGAACTGTTAGCCCTGTGCCTGCAGTGGGGTCGCGAGCTGAGTCACATGTCCCCCAAATGCTTCCGAACATTGGAACTAACAGTTGTTACTGTGAATGTTTACAAGAGTCAAAAGTCAGAAAGAGGTGAGCATAACGCAGAAAATAGTGTAAAAATGAGAGGAACGGGAACCAAGCATGGAAACATGAACAAAATCGTGATCCTCAGATGTTGAATTCAGTACTGTGCGACCGAGGGGATGTCAGACAGGAGAATGTGAGCTTGAGGACGTCCGACTCATTTGTGGGGAGGGTGAGATGAGGTGTAGTGAGTGTCAGACAGGAGAAGATGAGCTTGAGGAGGTCCGACTCATTTGTGGAGAGGGTGAGATGAGGCGTAGTGAGTGTCAGACGGGAGAAGATGAGCTTGAGGACGTCTGACTCATTTGCAGGGAGGGTGAAATGAGGCGTAGTGAGGACACCGCTGCTGTGCCTCAGCTGCAGGCCAGCGAGTCCACGTGCCGGCAATGGTGGACGTCCAGTCAAGAGCCTTGTTTATATCATCACCATGGTCCTGGAGCCTCTTTTATTTAAATTTAAAATACATTGCCCAGCCTGAACAAGAACAAGACTCCATCTCTAAAAAACTGGCCAGGTGTGTGGCAGGAGCCTGTAGCCTCAGCTACTTAGGAGGCTGAGGCAAGAGGATCATTTGAGGTCTAGAGTTTGAGGTTGCTGTGAGCTGTGATGCCACAGCACTCTACCAAGGGTGACAGAGTGAGACTCTGTCTCAAAAAAAAAATTGCAAATTGCTTTACATACCACATATAATACTTGAGATGCACACATTTTTTAATTATATTCTGTCATTTTAAAACAAAATTATGTTCTTTCCATTTATTGTTGTTGTGTGCTTTGTGTGTACACAGCAAGGAGCTGTCCCTCCAACCAGCTCAGTTCCTCCTGTTACTGGGGCCCCAGCGGTTGGACAGCCTGGACCAGGGTTTGGAATGGTAAGTGGCCTGTGCTAAAAATTGTAATTGGTATTTGTAAGTTCTTTCCCAAATCCCAAAGATTTTCTTTCCCCTTGTTGTACAAAGTAACAAGTATAGAATGTGATTCTTCTCAAAATGCAGTTAAGTAAAACTTAGCAAGTTAAGTCATCTGTTTTAGCCCGTCAGTCGTCTACACATGAAGTGATAAAATCAGTTATAAAACACTTAAATTCCACCATAAAAATAATTTCTATAGTACATCATTATATCATTTTGCAATAATATTCACCAAATATAATCTTAGTTTAGATATCAAAGTCAACCCTGAAGTTACTGTACTAAGACTTTGCACTTGTCACTGGTAGGGCCATCTTTGGTAAAGAGGAAAGTTTTTGCCCCCCCCCTCACAGATGCTGCTTACGTGAGGGGGTGAATTAACAGGCATGCCCAAGGGGTGAGATGCCCAGCAGGCCTGTGCCCCACTACCTCAGTGATTTTTACGGTACTCAGACTCCAAAATCACAATTTATACTTTCTCACGAATGTGGCTTTCTCAAAAGTTGTTAGAAGCACATCAAGGCATTAAATGTCAGTAGTGCCCTCCTGCGTTCCACCCATGTGCTGAACCACTCTTCCCTCAGCCTCCTGCCGGGACAGCCATGCCCATGATGCCCCAGCAGCCTGTCATGTTCGCGCAGCCCATGATGAGGCCGCCCTTCGGAGCTGCCGCCGGACCTGGCACGCAGGTCAGTTTCTTAAATGTCCACAGGTTTCTTAAATGTCCACAGTTTCTTAAATGTCCACAGTTTCTTAAATGTCCACTTAACTGCTAAGTGTAAAACTTCCATGTGGCAAGCTGCTTAAAGAGTGTTTTTACCTAACATATAACATACCTGTTGCTTCAGAGGTAAAGGGAGTGTGAAAAACAGATTAGTGATAGTGTGAGGTTTGGAGAAAAATAAGAGAAATAATCCACTGTCCCGAGGTCCCTCCATTCTTTTCCTACTGAATTCAAGAATGGTTCCCAAGAATAACCAGACAGGGCTTCCAAGGCATATGTCCCAGAGAAACGGATGCTTCTGATCCATAGTGCTATTATGCTATTAATTATTGTCTGTTATTCCCAGACTTAGCAAAAAAAAGTTAAAAGCACAGTCCTCCAGGCTGCCAAGTCTGCCCACGGCTCATGACACTCCCTGCCACGAGTTTCCCAAACCTCACAGTCATGGAACCACCGCCCTCAGGACCCCTCAGCTCACATGCCAGGCACAAGCTTGGGAGTCTCCAGGGCCACTTCCACTTCAGACCAGCCACCCTCAAGATTAGACAGTTCCTTCAAATTAATCACAATACTCAGAAAAATGCCAAACTTGGGATTACAGTTTTATTGCAGTGGAAGGATACAAATTAGTTTCAGTTCTAGGAAGAAAGGCTCAGGCACATCTGGGAGTGTCCCGAGAATGAAGCTGCTCTGTCTTCAGGGACATGTCCTCCTGGCCTCGGTGGTGTCCCGAGTTACTGAGGCTTCATTATGTAGGAACGATTGGTTGAATCCTTAATCAAACACAGTCTCTAACACACACACCCCCAGAGATCCAGCTGGCATCATATGGCAAAGACCCAGTCCTCTAATCATGTGGTCTTTCCGGGTGGCCAGCCTCCACTCTGAGTCACCCATTAGCATAAACCATCGGGTGTGGTTTGAGGAGCCCACCACAAATAAGACATTCCCATCACTCAGGAAATCACAAGGATTTAGAGGGTACCTGCCAAGATTCTGGGCAAAGAGAGAACCGTTCTTTAGAGGAGGCCACACTTCTCACCACACCATGTGCTGCTTCCGTTTATAGAGATGCCCGGATCCGGGCACGTTGCTGTCTTTGCTGCCAGTGGTGCCAGCTACAGTGATGTGTCACCTCTCTGGTTTTACATTGTCTGGCCAAAGTGCTAGAACCAGGGAGGTTTTCACTGTGAGAAGTTGACTTGTATGGAGTCAGAACACAGAATTATAACCTTATTATCAGCATGCTAATAAAACTAAACCAAATAGTTCAAATATGCTTTAATGGTATCAGTAAGTGGTTTTACTCCCTATAATATTTTTTTTAATTACCAAATGAATATTTACTTCATCTTAGCCAAAGGATACCCACTGTGAACTTTCTGAATGTACTTTTTTTTTTTTTTTTGGTTTTAAGGTAGACTTTCATAGGTGCTGCACCTGTTTTGTTTCAGATTAATATGAGACGACATAATTAGATTACAATGTTTGCATTTTAAAGGCCCTGTTGTAAGCTCAGTGCCTGTAACTCAGCAGCTAAGGGTGCCAGCCACATACACTGGAGCTGGTGGGTTTGAACCCAGCCTAAGCCTACCAAACAACAATGACAACTACAACCAAAAAATAGCTGGGTGTTGCGGCAGGAGCCTGTAGTCCCAGCTACCTGGGGGGCTTAAGCCCAAGAGTTGGAGGTTGCTGTGAGCTGTGATGCCATTACACTCAACCGAGGGCAACATAGTGACACTCTGTCTAAATAAATAAATAAAGTCCCTGTTGGAGCTGTGTCCCACACCCAGGATGTGTGCCATGTACCCTTACATTACGCCCATTACATGGGAGCACCCCAACCCCCCCACCTCCCTCTCCCCCCTTCTCTTTTCTCCCCTTCCACCCCCCCAACTTGAATTGAATTGCGTTTCCTCTTGTGTAGGCAGGTAGGAATTAGTCTACTGGCCTCGTGTTAGTACTGAATGCATCCTTCTGCTTCTTTGATCTCACTCAGTCTATCCTCCATCTGTTCCCTAAATTTAATTTCAACTTGTTCACTGTAACCCCTCAAAAGCCCTAGTGACCAAGAGAAAGAACAGTGGTTTTGAAAGAGAAATTTAGGGCTAGGCGCCTATAGCTCACCCGGCTAAGGT